CACACTTTACTTGTTTTCAAATAATATATATATTCGGAACAAGTTAAACGTATATACAATAAACTTTTCACACTACAGAGAATATAAGCATATCGTAAACGTTGTATCAGTATATGTATAGTTCTCATCTTTTTGTCAAAAGTCTACTTAGGCCTGTTCAATTACTTTAGAATCTCAGTTGACAAGTCGAACTATTTTCTCTGATACTATCGCAATATTAGCCTGGTGTGATTCACTTACGACTGCGATCTTCTTTCTTCTGAAGATCTTATGCTCTTTTTGTCAAAGTGCACTCAGGTTGATTCAATCACTTTAGAATTTCGCTTTGACGGAATAAGCTCATTTTTTTCTTATTTCCTTTTCCACTGTTAGTTTCACTCTATGATATATATCAAACGTTAGGCCTATGTCAGTCGTTAGGCCTATCACTTTTACGTTGCTTAACTCCACACCAACTATATTCTCTTTGCTTTTATCTGTCTAATACTGTTTGTCTGCTGCTTCCCGCTCGTCTCATGCTATTTATGTCTTTATTACATAGTCGTCTGGCCACTTTCTATATTCTCGACACCAATTAGTTATTAACAAAACCTTCTACAATCGTCTGCTTTTAACTCTTATTATAACAAAACTTAAAAAAATAAAATATTCACTCACAAATATAAATTAATCACTAATATTTAAACCAAACAATATTTTATATCATGACAAGGGGAGTGTTCTGTAGTTGCTAACTTATCTCTTTAAGTGTAAGATAATAAATAAGTCTGGGCAAATGTAAAATGAATGAACAACATCTTTACTGCAACAAACAAATAGAAAGCACAAAGTGCATACTTGTACAAACATAATCATCACAGTTGCTTCTACTAATTTGTTTTTCTTACAGCTTTATTTTTCTCGAGATGGACTTCCGACGAATTGAACACGATGACCTCAAAGTAAGTCTTCACTCAATGATCTTCATGTAGAACTAGCTATCCATCCATCTCATCCTTGGTGGTTATTTTGGTCAAGTATCTTCCTGGCACCGAAGGGGTCTAAAAAATAACCAGGGGCGGTCAGAAACTTCTGCTTCTCTTCACCCCAATTGCGTGGCCAGTTGGTAGGGGCTTAGAATGATATTGTTACGTCTCCGTTTGTTAATTGATTTTTCCGTAACTTCGTTCCGACGAAACTTTAGCGACACAAGTCCTTACTTAATAAAACTGGTTTATTCTTTCCGAATACAACTTTACGATACACTTATTTTCAACAATCGCTCTATAACAAACGCTATATCAACGAACGTCAACAATACTTCTGACTGCAGTTCAGTTACTCACTATCTACACACACACATTCTTATTCCGTCACGTTGTCACCCTCTTTTATATACCAGCCTACCCTATATCTAGTAAATGCTAGAGCATTCGCCAAGGTACAGGATAGTTCTAGAAACGTGGCGTCACTAGTCATGTGACCTCGCTGACGCAACACTGCCCCCTCCTTAGTATTGTTCGTCCCGAACAATAACCACTTACAATAAGCCAATAACAATTAACAATAACTTAATTAAATGTACAGAATTACAATTAATAGCGCTACGTACGAGTGTATCACACAAACTGGCAATCAACATGGCTGAAAAACTTTCCTGGAGGAGAAAATGGGTAAAATAAAACAATTCTGATGAAACTTGTGTTTTGTGGGAAATAAGGTAGAAATGGGAAATTTTTGGGCCAAAAATTTTTGATTAATATCAGTCTAATTAGATTTTCCAAACTAAAAATGTACGTACACTTTCAAAATTATCTACTCAAGTGAAAATATACACAGATTTGCCATATAGAAACATTTCTACCAACGCACACACAAACACGTATTCTAGGGCATCATTCATATACTGTTTCTCTGGAACAAATGTTTTAGTAACTACTCATTGATAAATGTTTCTGCTTAAGGCAAATCTGGAAAAAAATAAAACTTTCCTTAAGTACATTAATTGAATTTGGTTTATTTAAACCACTAAATCTTTTTCCTTCTTATCAATGCATGATTTAAAAGTGTATATAAAAATATATTTAAATATGCGTACAAATAACTTCAGACTGTTTAACACTTTCGTGCAAATTTTCACAGAACTTACATCCGCAAAATGTTAAAAAAACTTTTGTTGCATTCTTAATTAGTTAAATATTCTCTGCTGAAAAATAACTTGAGCTCAGCATAACCTGTTCCCAGATTATTTTAATATTTTTTCATAAATCCACTAATTTTTGGGTTGCCACAACTTACACCAAATATTTTTTAACAAGATATATGTAATGTATTAAATACACCAGTCATGTGTTACACCAAAATAATTTTAAACATAGCACTGACAATCACGTTCAACTACAGCAAAAATACTGGGATACTTCAGAAAACAAGTGATTGGCACAAAATCTTTTGTACGAATATGAACGACTTCAAGCACTTTCAGCGAGACGTTTTCTTGGGATTTGTAAGTGTATTAATTAACCTATGAATCTCCAACTTTATAAAATTATGCTAGAACTTTATGAAGAATGAGTGAATTAAGTGACTAAACCCCAAAACAGCGTTTTTCCAATTTTACATTATCTCATTAACTTTAAAATGTTTCTAGTTAGCAACACTTACTGGAGTCTGGCCTTTGTTGTTTCCAATCGTCATCGAAGTTAACTACACACTTCCTCGGCAAGTAGATAGTCCAATCCTAATATGCATTCGTCTTCAATGTCAGCCAATTATACCTTCTGTCTGTTTTTCATGCCCATGAGCTCGATAGTTACCCACACTGGTCCCCACAACTTTGCATAATGTCCTGTCACACCACAGAGCTTCTGTACAGCTTCTGGTACTCCTTTGTTATCCAGCCGTGTTGATGCTCACACGGGTCTGCTGAGATGCAGAATCTATGACAAAGTTGCATCTTTGGCCATCCAGCTTCCCTGTCATGTAGATACTATGTGTGCTTGCCAATTTACCCTTAG